GAGGGGAATCAACTCTTTGAAAGGGTGAGTGACAGCAGGACAAGGGGAAATGGTTTTAAGTTGAGGGAAGGTAGATTTAGGTTGGATGTCAGGGGGAAATTCTTTACACAGAGAGTGGTGAGGTGCTGGAACAGGCTGCCCAGAGAGGCTGTGGATGCCCCATCCCTGGAGGTGTTCAAGGCCAGGTTGGATGGGGCCCTGGGCAGCCTGGTCTAGTATTAGGTGGGATGGTTGGTGGCCCTGCGTGTGGCAGGGGGGTTAGAGATTCATGATCCTTGAGGTCCCTTCCAACCCTGGCAATTCTGTGATTCTGTGACATGCCCAAGCCCCATGTTCTGCTCTTCAGAGCAGCAGGAGGCCAAGGATGCTTTAGTGGGCTGACTGATTACAAACATGGTGAGGAACTACAGCAGTGCATAAGCTGAATATTCAATTTTATGAAGCAAGATTTTGACAAGATACGGTTTTATAGGTCTTTTATTAGACCAACTGAAACTATATAAATAACTATAAAAGCAGAAGTCTTCTCTACAAAGCCCCAAATGTCAAGCAACACAACCACTCCTGCTGTTTCCCAAGGACCTTGAAAACTACGTCTTTCTGGAACAGAAGCAAAGACCCTGAAAATGGAAACTTCATGAGACAAAATCAGAAGCAGCTTTCATTTTGGGTCAATCAAAGCATTCCTTTTACTTTCTACCATAGCACGAAACAAAAAGCTAGACAAAAATCTGAACCAAAATACAAACTGAAGTTTTTTGTTCCAGTGTTACAGATACTATCAACTGCTTTACTGGCACATTTTTACTATCAGATAAATTTTGCAAAATGAGTACGGAGTGACATAATATGATGCAACTTTGCAATAGCACAATCTGCTGAATACTGTCTAACCAGTATTACAGGAGCGTGACCCAAAGGGAACCTGAACTGAAGACACTAAGAGACCATTATTCCTCTGAACAGAAACTGAATCTGAAGCTGTACTCCAAATCCTGCTGGGGCTGCTAACATCTGAATCAAAAAGAAGGATATTAGATTACCAGAGCAGGATAGTGGTTTTCCCAAAACTAGAGGTGACCATTTCTGTGCTATGGACTGCAGAATCTCCCTGTCCCACCACCACCGTGCACCAACACAACTCTAGACATGCATCTGTACACATGGGATGTGCTGCTCTGCTCACAGTTTTGTCATAACTGCTCAAAGAGGTTGCCTTGATCCCACGTACAGGGCAAGATGGGAGCTCTTCTGTGCCTCGTTCCCATCCGAGGGATTTAGGGAATCAAAAAGAAGCCACAGCGCTTCACTGGAAATATAAAATGTGCTGAGCCTTTGGCTGGGGAACTGGATGGTGTTATTAATTTCCAGATGCCCCTATGTCCTTTCAGTCACTCAGTCTTTCACCTGGCTCTGTCTATTTTCTGAGATAAGAGGATATTGGTTTGCTGACTTGGTTAACAAACAGTTAACCTCATCTGGAACAGTCACAATTACAGCTGAAAGCAAACTGGAACTAAAAAAAGAAAATCACTGGTGTGACTCCGGCTTACCCCATTTATAAACCTTGTATTACTGTGTCTCCCCCCAAGCTGTCACTAAGAAGAAGCAGTGTATAGGAGAAGACACAGCAGCAGCACAAGTAACACATATATGCATTTAGAGATGAGACTTTCCTATGTTCTGTTGAAACAACATCATGGTGTAATTTTGGACATATTTTGAGCAAGAAATAGTAGAAATACTGAGGAGGAAATCAATGAAGATTCGAAAAATGGCTTCTGTAAGACAGTTTCTAGCAACTTCAATGACAACTAGTGGCCAAAACCTGAAATCTGTAATTTCATAACTGTAAAACAGGACTTCAGGGTGCACAAATCTCCCATTAACTGCATGAAAAATTTCTGGATTTCTCTTGGAGTCTCCCAGTCTAAGCTACATCTTTCTTATATGGGAAAACTGAAACCCATGATGTCCAGCTGTAAAGGCTATTGTCTTGCAGGCATTATGCCCAACAAGATGTAGCAATCTCTTCACATTTTTTAATTGTTTCTTTAAAGCCTGTTTGTCTACAAGATGCAGTATGAAAACATTTTGCATCTGGTTGTCAAGCAACAGATGCTTATTTTACAAATAGAAAAAGGGGTATGCATGAGTTTGATATGCCCTGAGGAAAATTAGCATACAGATAACACAATACAGATCAGGCAGACTGCTCAAAATAGCTCTTAGAGTATAACCCATTATGAGACAATAAGGAGATCTGTTTCAGAGGAAACAATATGTCACCAATGAAACCAGATTAAATTTTTGGTCTGGCAGATAGAACTGTCACATGCAGCAGCTTTTACAAAGTACTCATTATACTTCATTAATGTAGAGTAGAAACACAACTATTTTATCATCTTGTTTTAAATGAACTTTGTGTTACTACCTGAATCCATCTTTATTTGCCTCGGTGAGATGGCAGGTCCCTCCATTCTGACATGGATTTTGAATGCAAGAATTAATGGGCACACTGCAGTCCCGACCCTATTTGAGAAAATTTAAAAGAAAGAAAGGTTAGTAAAATGCATGTCATCTGAATCACAGTCTTTTGCTCCCTTACTCTATGTGTGGCACCACTTAAAGGAGGACCGTGGTCTTCAGATACGTTCTTTACTGATGGGCAGATACATTTATCACTTAAATGAGAGTCTGGGCAGGGCATTTCTTCCAACCAATGGGACTAGTGGGTATCTTGGTGTCATTTAAGTTTCAAGATATTGGTTAACTCTTTCATTTTATTATTTTAAGGAAACAGCTGGTTTTATCATTACTCTAGCCCAGTTTAATCCCCAACATTAGTTCACTGAAAGGACTGAATCCTGGCCAAAGGTAAGCAGAAGGCCACACACAGCCACACACAGTCAGCACAGGACCACATAGTCACCCCTCATTTACCAAGTGCTCAGTTAAAAACTGTAACAGTACACCACACTCATTACTACACATTGTCAAAAGTAAAAGAGGGAAATCCATTTTTATCCTGAGAGCTGATTTTGAGTTTATCTACAGAACACATGGAATCCTGTTTGAGATATTAGCATTGAATCAGTTTCTTCTTAAAAACTTGCCCTAAAATATACATTATTTCCAACTGAACTTCACCAGCTTGGACAATATCCACTGCTGCCAACTGACTTTTTATTTGGCTTTTCAAAGCCTAGACATATTTATCCGATCATTATATTCTACTGATTAGAAAAAGCTATTTGTAAAATTGGCAAGCACATCAAAGAGGTTGTTCTTTCCTTTCATTTACTGTCACAGCAGGGTGGAATAGAGACACCTGAAAGTCTGACAGCACTCAAGGGATCTGTGCAATCACAAGAAGTTCAAGAGATCTCTGCTTTTTCTATCAAGGATCCCATTAGTAGTTGCCCTCTGCCAGCTCATCTACTGGAAAGCTGATAAATGATTGCAATCAAAATGAGAAAAATATCAAAGGAGACACACTCAGTCAGTTTTGCTGGGGTTTTTGGCTTTGGTTTAGGAACCACTATGTATACTGTACTTTAGAAGAATAACAATGGTGTATCTACCTGGAAATCTAAACAGAGGGCAGATGTCAGCTCAGGACACCAATTCGTAACAGCTGTAGCCTTCACTTATCAGTACCAAACACCACACTACCACTGCCAACCATCCTTGCTATGACACTAATCAAAAGCCACTCCTTTCTCCACTGCCTTTGCAATAGCTTCCAACAGTTCCCTGACTTTGAATGCCTGGTACGATGTACCTCAGTAGGGAGCACTAAAACAATTATTTCTGTAGTCTCAATTTTTATAAGATTGCTGTGTTGTGGAAATGGAACGTGTCGATGCTTCAGCCATATACCTGCACCTGAGACCATCAACTGTGAGTACTGTTTGCATCTTTGAGGCTTCACTGCTCTCACTTACTCCATATCCAAATTAAGAATGGACTTTGAGAAGCCTAACGCTGTACTTGACAGATACCTAACAGTGATTAGCTTGCCTCAGGATGGATACAGTGGGGTTAGAAAGGGCACAGAAAAGGAGTATCAAAATGTTTTAAAAGAGAGATATTTAGAAGAATATACTACAAAGAACAGGACTTAGTCTGGAGAAAAAAAGCTGACGAGAATGCTATGCCTGAGGTTTACAAATAACGGAACTGGTAAATGCAGAATTTGTTACTCACTCAATAAACTCCTCAGCAGAAGAGGAACAATTACTGATATTAGAAGATAAGCTTACTACAGATTAAAAAAAAAAAAAAAAAAAGTTTGCCAAAGTATGAGCTTCTGGGAATTTTTTAACACAAGACTGTGAAGTGATACAGTATGAAAGCCATTAGACAAATCCATAGACAACAGGTCCAAAATAGATATGGAAGGCAGTCAGCAGACATCAGCATCCCTAGTTGGACGATGGTGGGTAGTGGGGAAACTGGAGAGAAGCGCTGACCAAGCTTGTGTCCTTTCTACAGAAATCAAAATACGCTGCTGCCTGCATTACAGGCAGAGAGATTGCTATGGTAAACACACCACAGACCAGACTGGCATTTCTCATGTTCTTATGCCAAAGCTACTTGAAAGGCTTATTCCATTCTGAACAAGAAAAGGTTCCCTAGCTTTGTTTCAAAACCGCCAGAGAGAAGACTGCTTGACTTAGTGTATTTTAAGGGAATAGCTCTCTCATGAAAACCACAGTAGGATAAATTTGATCAGTTTGTCTATGGCTGAGTATCAGTTTGGGAATTCTTGCTCATCCCTTCGAGCCAAGACCAAGCAGGCTGGTCAAATCATACTAACAGGTCATAACTGGCCACTTCTCTCTTACACTGTACAGCGACCAGACAAAATTCATGCTCAACTCTTGATAGTTGTCCCTGTTTCCAATGACATGTCCAGTCTGGAGGTGACAAACTGCTGGGACATGGACTGTGCTGGTTCTGTGACAGCTCATGCTCTGTGCATGCTTTCTGTTGAGCATTATTATAGCAGCCATCTTGTCTCTGAAGCGCTCATTTTGAAATTGGTACAGCCTCATTAAGCCCCACAAAAACAACAAAACCACAACAGCCTCTAAGCATGAAGTGTGAACTGCTCTAGAGAGTTCATTTGCTCAGGTCTGTCCACACACAGTGCCAGGCTCCCCATGTCGCATACAGTTCAGTTCCCCAAATACTAAAGACTGAAATCTTTAGTATTCTGTTGGGCAGGACATACTGCCACTTACTGTGAGAAAAAATGCAATACACAGTAATTATACCTTTGTCCAACAGCACAGAGGGGCTTTGTTATAGAAATGGTAGAAGAAACTGTATTTTCTGTGTCAACCACCACTTCCTCCCAGCTCTCCCCAGAGAGACAAGCTTTGCGTTTTAAAATTTGTGTAAATACAAAGAAACAGGGACATCCTTTTGCCTGGTTAAATCAGAAGAGAAACACTTCTAAACAACAACAGAAGTTCCTGGCTAATCTCCTGCCTCACTGCAAGTTCATTCCCCAACTGCAGCCCTGCAGGCTGCATGCAAAGACCTTGCAGAGGGAGGTTCTGCTTCATTTGGACTGCATTTGCCAAGCAGCCTGTGCTTCTCCATTTGAAATCCCGAGCCCCCCAATGTCTCAGGGAAGATTTGGGAAGCGTCGAGGGAAGCTCACGCAGGTTTTATTTTGGCACCATGCGGCCCACAGCACTTGGCAGCCATGAGCCACGCAGCATTAGCCCTGATCTGCTGCCACCCTGCTGCACCAGAGCCTGTGTCCGTCCATCTGTGTGTGCTTGCTTCATTGAGCCATCCTTACAGAGCTGGAAGATGCCACCTTTTGTATTTCTCAGATCGCATCCCTGAAGAACTGATCGTTTTACGATACTTCATTAACTTCTGTTTCATATGAGGTCTCCACCATTAAGATATTAAATCCTTTGCAGACAAACGAAGCAAGACGTAAAGCAGAAATCACAGCATTCATTTTTTTTTTCTGAAGGTTTACAACACAGTTGAACACTGTATAAAACAGTCCCATCATTTCTGTGGTAGTTTTTCAGATTATCTTGAATATTCTTGTAAAAATTTAATAAATGTTAAAACGAGAGCAAGAGATTTTCAGTCTCTCACTGACACATGAAATTTGTGATGACTTGGACTAGGCTCTCATTTCTTTGCTGAACTTGGCTGAATTATTGGCTTCTGGTGCCTCAAGTGCCACAGAAACCAAACAGAATGTGTTGTGGAATCAGACTTAATTACAACACTAACTCGCTATCTGGCTTTAGGAAAATTAAGAGTCTCTGACTCTGTTTACTCATGCTAATAAATGAGCAAATGCCACCTAATCCTTCACTGAGGATCTTCTTCCCCCAGTTGACTTTATCAGTAGCACCTCGAGAGCCCACAAAACAACTGCAATTTCTCTAACACTGGAGATTATGATAACCAAAGGATTCCAAAAGCAGAGAATCTGCAGAAAAAAATTGGTACTAATAAATCTATAGCACAGCAAGGCCATTTTGTTTCTGCATGAGACTGTCACTACTCATAAGAGCTCAAAGACATTTTAGAAACATCTTTCAAAGGAATAATGCAGTTCCCTAGTCTCAACTTACACAAAGGCCATTCTTCCTGGAAAAGTGGAATCACGGTCAAACATCTCTAAAATTAATTTATCTCTGCAGTGGAAAAAACTCTTTGAAATACATTCCCTAGAAAGAAGTGTTCTTACAAATGAGAATATTCTATGTTTGCTTCAAGGCTGAAGAGCCTCTTAATAAAGCCTGAACCAGAAGTATAGGCACAGACTGTGTTTCAAGGACAGGCAAGAAAACATGACTGCCTCAGCAATCCACAGGAAGAGGATGAAGGTCCCTCTGAGTGCAGTGTTTTATTATTTCTCTCTAGAAATTAGCTTCTTAAGCTGTGATAAATTTTTATCTAGTCCGATAGGAAAGCATCAGATCCAAAACACTTAATAGAATTCCTTTCATTTTTCATAAAAAAGGAGAGCATTACATGGTGAAGCACAAGACTTTTGCCACTGAACAGAGACACAGATGTTCCGATTCCAGCTGACTTCTAAAATCTGAAGCACCTCAGCTGGTTCAGGCTGTAGCCGAGCTCCTCCAGCTCTGCATTTTCAGTGAATGAGAACAGACTATCCAACATGCTTGAAAAGCGTCAGCTCTTTCATACTCAGCAGCAATTAGCCATACTGGGCACCAGTGTGTGTACAAGCTGTTGCTCGCTGCTGCTGTGCCAAATTCTGGCCTTTACAAGTACCCAGTACTGGAAAACATTACATCATGATCAGCAAAACACCCAAGTAGTAGCAGCAAAAGCTAATTGGGACCTCAGCAGAAAGAACAAAGGATAACGCGACTAAAAAGCACCTTGATACCATTTCAGTCAGGTGCAATGACTTCTTTAAAATTAATTTTCACAGCTGATAGCTTTGTGCAGGCTGAAATCTTCATTCACAGTCGCATGGCAGAGACCTGAGCTCTGCCCACTTCGGAGTGATC